TAGGTGCTTTAGACCACTGAGCCATCTCACCAGCCCCGACAATACCAGATTTAAAATTATGTTACAGAGCTATAGTGATTAAACAGTATGGCATTAGCATAAAAACAGACACGTAGACCACTGAACTACAACAAAGGAAGCAGAAATAACCCCAAACACTCAGTCACCCGATCTTTGACAAAAGGGCCAAAAACATGCCAGAGGACAGACAGCCTCTACGAACAGTACTGGGAAAACTGGCTATCCACATGTGGAAGAGATCACACCTCTGACAGTGGATTTATATACTCTGCATAGCTTCTGAAAAAAACTGTAACTGGAAATTCTATTTGACACAGCTGTTTTCCTTCTAGGTGCTTCTGAAAGAGTCAAAGAATTCAAGGCAGCCCATTTTCTGGGCTTCCTTCTGTCCCTCTCAGACAGAAGCTTTCAATAACTACTCCTACTCACACAAAAAAAGGTAAAGACATCACATTATAGTGATACATGCATACCTATATTTATAGCAGTACAATTCTCAACAGCCCAATCTTGGATGTACCCCATATCTCCATCAATAGATGAATGGTTTTCTTTAAAATGTTTTTATATATAATGAAAAATAAATGAATCATTTGTAGAAAAATGGATACACTCTGAATACACAATGTTAAGCCAAAAAGACAATACAGGCACACAAGCTTAAAAATCATATTATTTAAAAAAAAAAAAAAGCAAACTATATGTAGAAAACAAAAACAAAAGACAGACAATAGGAAGAAATAGGGAGACAGCTTGCTGGCAGATAAGAAGGGGATTGAGATGCTGGGAGTGGAAATACATCTTCATAAAAGTCTAATTTTTCTTCTTAAAATTACAAAACCTCCCCCATCTCAGCTTTTCTTATATCTCTTTCCCAACTTGTGCTGTACTCTCTGCCCAAATCAACATAATCCACAGTACTGTCCCATCGACATTCTTTTACATGTGAACATATATGCTAGCTGTGATTATAAGGAATATGCAAAACCTTACTGAAAGGGGGAATATTTTTCATAATCATTTTACATAATTCATTCAAAATAAATTTACTGTGGTATTTAGAATAAAACTAGACTGAGTTTTAAATTAACAATCCTTATCTATTTTTACACATGGATGGACACAGTAGACATAGAACATTATACGCTAACATACTATTTAGGATCTTAAAATCTTGATAAAATCTAGAAAAAGGAAGAGAAATACTTGCTCTATACTACCATTTTCCTTTCACTTGAATTTAAACTATATAAAGTTAGAAGCACTCTTAGTTAAAAGGGTAGAAGAAGAGAGAAAAAGAAATAAGCAGGGTAAGTGGACAATTTTAACACTATCTAGAGTACCTGAGACATTTACTAATCTAATTTACACATATATGTATCCCTAAACCATTTTATTTTTCTTTGCCTTAAAAACAAGAAATGTCTTAAGATCAAAGTAATATTAATTGCATGTGTTTTTGGGTTTTTTCCTCCTTTTCCTTCTCATTTTTCTTTTGCAGTACCAGGGATTGAACTCCAGACCTTGTGTTTGCCAGGCAGGCACTGAGGCCACTGAGCTATCTCACCGGTCTGCAAGTATTTTTACAGTAACCGCAGAAATTCTTCTCACAAAATACAGTCTTTTTCCTCAATTTCCATTCTTTTACCTAGTTTATCTTGAAATAATGTTCAAAGGAATCTATACATTGATGGTATTTTAAATATTTCCATTTAAACTCCTTAAGAATGTATTTAACCTACTAATTCTGACATCTACTTTGGATCCTTTTCTTGATTAGACAACGAAGACAGAGTAAGGAGAAAAGCTAGGACACACAACAGGGGCAAAGCCATACATTTATATGCACAAGATAGGTAAGGCAATGATCCTGAGAATCTTCAGCATGTTTCTGAAACTAGCAGTTAATTGGTAGGATCCTCACCCTGACTAACTATATATGCTGACACTGTGAACTAAGCAACTGCACTGAAGACAGCAATGTGTAATACTAGGGTCATGCTTGAAATGCCTGTCATTCTGGTCTTCTAAATACATACTGCTCGTCATGTCATACCAATTACTGCCATACTGTCTCTCAAGTAAATGTTCGCTTTTTAAAAAAAGGTAATAAATGAAAACAAGAGACAAGAAAAAAAACAAGGAGCTACAATGCTGTATATGGTCAGATTTCTAAATTTCTGTGTGAAAATATGTTAATTGTTCTGATTTTTAAAAATATTTAATTTTTAAAATTTTTTCTTCATATTCCATAGGGCTTAAAGTTTAACATATGGAACTTTAAGGAAAATACCTTAACTTGATGGAAAATACCTGTTCCATGTTACATCTAAGATATTCAGACAGACAGTGAGGTTAAAGCTCAACTGCCTATTGTTGTAGGGTAATCATAATAAGCTTCTCTTCAGGAGGGCTAACAATCTAAATTTGCAGACCAAAAATTAGAGAAAAAGAAGGGCTGAAAGGACAGCCAACATTATGGTCCTAGCCTTTCAAGGTCAATGAAGACTAAGGATATAGGAGAACTTGTACTGTAACATCATGTAACTCACTGGTGTTCCAAATTTTCTGATCAAGGAGATTATGGGGCCACAGAGAAGAGTGTTCGACGATGTAGAATGTGCCTAAGGACAGTCACCTGGAGAGGAAACATTCTCTCAGGCTTTCAAATAGCAAACTGGTCAAGCAATGGCCGTGACTCATCCACATAGCTGACACTGACAAAGGATCTACAAACTGTGGTACAGGGTTTCACGATAAATCCTGAGGGGATTTGACCGACCTTATCAGATACAAAAGATACATTTCTTGTTACATAGGTCTTGCTTTATCTTGGTCTTACGAATCCAGCAGAAAAGTATAAAAACGAGGCATAAAAAGTAAAGCCATATTAATATGCTGAGCTGTAAAAGGCTTAAGTCAACAACTTCTGATATTGCCAGTCCTATGGAAAACCAACTTCTATTATGGACTACTGGACTATATTGGAATATTTTGCTTAATTCACACACCTACCATATTTAAATGACAAAGGAATACCCATCTCTGACAAAACTAAACAAAAAAAGGGGATATAAATGAAGGAACATTTTGTATCTGTATATACAAAATAGGATAGATACACACTTACTTTCTCTCAAATCAATGAACAGATTTGTTTTAATAGTGTTTGTGGACAGGATATCATGTCTGCATCTT